ATTTTCGATTTTAATTTACAACAAAAGCAACACAAGTTTGTCAAATTAGAGTCATATTTAGGGTAAAATGACAAATGTCCATCACTCATGTTTACATAAACCCATAACCTTGAAACATATGAATGAGGAAGTATGAACAACCTTGAAATATATTTACTAAATTTGGAACTAAAAACATATGAACAACCAAAGGCCCACAACCAATCGACTAATTGAAGCTATTAAAAGACTTAAGAGCTACCAATTGAAACATAGGAATGAGGAATTCCTACAAATGTGTCTAAGATGTGAAGAAATTCTAAACGACGATAGAGCGGGACAATATATATAAGGGCATTTTAATCCCACCATCATTATCGAACCCACAACACAACTGGGTACTCAAGCAAAAAACCTCAATCCTTCAACAATTTGTAAACAATCTGAAGCAAATTAGGATAAGGGTGGTTTGGTACAACCCATATATGCACAATCGTCTTCATCAACATCAACACCAGCCACCACTACACCTGTTGTGAATCAAATTTCATCGGTTATTTGAGAATCCATACAAACCCACATACAACTAGTCTCATGTAACGCCCATATATAGATCCGGGCTAGTCAATTTAGAGACGATAGACATCAAAAGTGATTTTTTGATGAAAGATTATTTAGAAGGATTAATCTTAACCAAGTTTTAGTATATGTCACAAGGTTTCCGTGCATATAAAGAACGCCAAAATCCGAGTTATAACGAAGAAGTTATGACCTGACGAAGTTTCGCGACAGAACCGAAAAAACCCAGCGCGACGTAAATAGTGAATTTAAGGTAGATAGATATCTATCTTTAGTGATCTAAACGAGAGTCGAAGATTTCTTCGATAGTAGTCTAACGATAAAAAGACAGACGAAAACGGAGTTCAGATGAAGGAGTTATGAATTTCGAACGGAGTTTTCCTATCCCGACCTACTAAAGATAGTATATAAGTAATATACTTATAATATATTAAAAATAAAGTCAAAATTAGCCAATGGAGTCTAAACGATAGTTGTAGAGCATAATCTCACCTACGTGTCGATATAAAGAACGTCGAAAACGGAGTTTGTATGCGAAAGTTATGAATTTCTAAAGTTCGGGGCGTGAAACCCCAAAACTATCATATACCACGAAGTGGCAAGCAGTGCCACGATGTGGCAGGTCTTCTGACACCTCCAAGAGTCCCCCAGATGCAACTTGAGATGACGCATGCAGTGACGACCAAGCCCACGACGTGGAAAAAGGTGCCACGACGTGGCAAGGGCCAGTTTTACCCTATAAATAGATTTGAAGGGCCAGACGAGTTTGGTTTCTCATTCTCTCATCTCTCATCCATATTACCTCGATTTACGTGCAAAGAAGTACCCCCGAATCCACGGTATCAACCCCGAGACCCGAAGCAAGTCCCGAAGCCCAAAGATCACGAGAAGAAAAGTGTTTCCAAGCCGAAGCTCTGCCCGCGAGAAACCCGGTGTGTGAAGTGATCCCGGTTTCACCAATGAAGACTACTTCTACATGCTGTCCGATCATCTTCTGATCAAGTGAGTGCGTGGTCACTTTCTTCTAACACATAAATATGAAGTATTTGCTATGAAATACGTGCTATGTATATAATATATTGTGGTTTATTTGAGATGATTGTGGAATGGATGAATTATATAAGTTTTAATGAGTTAAGCTATATATGTATTTTGTATCAAAAAATATGTTGGGTAGAACATGGGTAGATGAGGTTGTTGGTAGGTGATAAAATATGGGTTGGAGCATGAGATAAAAGGATAAATAGATAAACTTGTTTTAGATCTGGATGTATGGACCAGATCAGGAGGTTAGTTTTAGATCCGAGAGTATGGATTAGATCAGGAGGTTAGTTTTAGATCCGAGAGTATGGATTAGATCAAAAGGTTAGTTTTAGATCCGAGAGTATGGATCAGATCAAGAGATTAAATTTAGATCCGAGAGTAGGGATCAGATCAAAAGGTTAATTTTAGATCCGGGAGTACGGAATATGTATTTTTGAATTACGTGTTCATTCGATAAGGTATCATGTGTATAGTCCCTTTTAGGAACGTGATTTTAATACAAGAATTGATTAAAGTATGAAATATACATATGTATGTGAAGTATTTGTTATTGTCCGAAATACGTGTTAGATATATTTGATGATATACAACGTACGAATCAGATATGGTTCAATATGTGTTAAGATGTATATATATATGATATTATTACTTAAAATTTGTGTTAAGTATACACTAGTTAGCTTTTTACTAAACGGAGATAGTATCAAAAATTGATTATGAGTATTGTAGGTTTGCCTAGTGATGGGTTAAGACTTAAATGGGCTGTTTAGTTCAATTAAGTTTGGACATTGGGTAGTCTCTTATTAAGAGTACGTGCGTTGCAAGATTGATGATTGGTGGAGTACGTCCTACGTATAGAAGTACATTTTATGTACGAAGTCCTTTTCAAAGCTCTGTGTCTTGGGTACTGCTTGTGCCAGGGTATTATTATGTTCTCGGGTATGAGTCTTTCGCATACCAGAGTACTATAATGTGCCAGAAGTACTATCATGTACAAAGTTTTTCTGGCGATTTTGTGTGTCGGTTACGGGAGCGTACGGGAGTACTCTAGTAGTATTTCCCCATACTTTTATTTTAAGAGAGCTTTGGAGTCAGCATTTCTTTTATGAAGTGATCGACCGAGCTTCATATGTCAACATTTTCTTTCACGAAGTAATTAAGGGAACTTCGTAGACTGCCTAATAAAGTGTGTCGGTAATAGACCACTGCTAGGTATGTCTGGTGTTATATTGTTGGATAGGGTGTGTCTGGGGGTGAAATACCTCATGTATTCAGGCCACTGCTAGGCAAAGTTCGATGCTGGGATAGGTAGAGTCTGGGGTTATAATACCTCATGATAGTCAGACCACGCCTAGGCATTGTTATCTAGATAACTACCCCTGACTTAAAATGTCTTGTGGTTCTTTCTTTTATGAAAAAAGGTTCGTGGTGAAACTTATTCCATTCCCCTCATTTGATGTCTTTATTGATCCTCGTTTGCTGCTAGGGAATTTCCGAAGCAACTTCGTCAGTTGTTGTTCATATTGATTTCCTTAGGCTAGATCTCGTAAGATCATTGTATAGAGTCAGTATGTGGGGATCGACGGGATAGGATAGATTGTTTTAGAAATATGATTTATATGTGTTAATAATATTAGTGGTTTTGTAGGATCGAGATATACATTATTATCACGTGGTTTGAACTAAGAGCTTTCGTACTCTGTGTTCCTTAGGTGATTGAGTTCACCAGAACTAAGTGTTCATTAGGTGTTTGTGAACTAGGTGTTCATTGGGTAGTAAGTGTTCATTAAGTGTTTGTGAACTAGGTGTTTATTGGATAATATTGGAACTAAGTGTTCATTAGGTGTTCTTAAACTAGGTGTTTATTAATTATTTTGAATTGCGTGTTCACCAAAGGTAATCTAAGAACCATGGCAGCACTAGACTTTGTGCCAATTCCTTAGGGCAATTCTTAGGAATGAATGGGAGAAGGGTATTTGGTTCTTAGGGTAAATCTTTACTAGATAAATGGAGATAAAGGGGGTTGGTAATTGGATTGATTATTTGATAATTAAATATAATATTATATTATTGTGGGTTGAAAACCCTATATGCTCACCAGGCTCCCAAGCCTGACCCTCTCAATTTTCTTTGTATTACAGGTTATGGCACGAGAGCATAAGTTGGCTGACATAACGAGAGATTTTGGATTATAGGCCAGTAGTTATGAATAACGGTTGGTGTAATTCTTGAAGTTGTCCCATCGTCTGGAATTTCCATCACCAATCGAGTTGAAGTAGAATTGATGATTGTAGATTGAGCAATGAAGAAATCCTAGTAGAGTCTAGGGAAATTTCTATGATTATTTGGACACTTTCGTATGTGTTAAATTGTTGTGTGATTTTCTTGTATCGTGACTTGGTCGATTGCGGGACAATACTTGGGACGAGTATAAGTATGTGTGAAAGGTAGTAGATGCATATACTACCGGAAGTACTGGACTCGCACTTGGATCAAGGAAAGTCACAAGGTTACCAAGAAGCTGGTGATTGATTCCATTTTATTCTGGTATGTCACTGAGATTGTTGAGGAATCTAGACTATCATTATATAGTCGCCAGGATTATGAAACTAGAATAAGACTTAGTGCTTTATATATTTAGGTCTTTAAGAAGTGTTAAGGCGAAGCGCTGCCCTAACCTCTAGTTACCTACTATTATCAGGTGAGTGTGTAGTTACTTTCAAGAACATAATTTAATAAAAATATTTATTAAATGCTAATTGTTTTGTTTACACATTATTCTACTTGTACACCTATAATAGTAATGTGTACTGGGAACTGTATAAGACATAGTTTGCCTTTAGTATAAGTCTATAGTAGTTATAATATGATTTGTAAAAGACGTGTAGATCCCAATAAGCAAGGATATTGTTTAAGTCTCATTATAGGGTAGTGTGTGCACTACTAGAAAAAAAGCCTTTTACGACGCTCATTGCGCGTCGTAAAACGCTCAGACGACGCGCAAATGTGCGTCAAGGAAGGCCCTGACATAAAGAGAGACGACGTGCTTTTGTGCGTCGTCTATAGACAACGCGCATTTAAGACGTGCGGTTATGACACGCAATGCGTATCAAGGAAGGCCCTATCATAAAGGAAGACAACACGCATTTGTGTGTACTAACCTTACGACACACGTGTTTATGACACGCAATGCGTATCAAGGAAGCCCCTGTCAAGAAAGGCCATGTCATAAATGAAGACGACACACATTTTTGCGTATCGTAATTTTTTTATAAAAAAAAAAATTATGTTTAGCTTTACTGATTTTCAAATTAAATTTGCATTTCATGTCTCATGATAGAAAATAAAATACCATATACAAAAAATATAATACATTGTAATACATTGATATTAAAGGGATCTGATTGTACATTGTTATTAAGAGGTTTTCCCTAACTATATAACCTAATACTACATTACTATAAAGGGCACCTTCTTTTTTAAGTAAATCATCATTAAGCTGTCATAAGAAGCTCCGAAACCCTTCATGTATCCAATCAATGATCATGTCTATTAGCTTAAATATGAATCCCAACTCTTATTGAAGATCAATACGGAAATCCTACATAATAATCATGTCAGTTGTACAATATCAATATCAACTAATTAATAATACACATGATATGTATGTATGATAGTGGAATCAAAATGATCTACCAATAAGAGTTTTGTATTGCCTTGAATCAAAGTATTTTGATGGCCTCAAGGGCAGCTCCCAAAGGACGCTCCTTACCTGTGCCATCTTTCTTTTGAATTTGCAGGAGTGTCTGGCAGTTCAAATCAGAAAAGAAACCCAACCAAACCATTACACTTTTATCCTTGTTCATGTTAAAAAATTCCTTTCTATACATATACATATCTAGAGAGTGACAACTAATCAGCACAAAACATACCACCAGACCTGGAAGGCTGCCCTGGCACATAACTAATTGATATTATGCGCGACTTGAATTCCATAATGGAGATGAGTAATTGAAGGGAACCAATAGTATATAAACAGCTCAAGACAGAAAACTTATCGTTGACGTGACAAAATATAATAAACCAAAGTGCCATATGCTTTAAGAAAGATTTCTAAAAACCTAATCATTGGTTCAAAAACAAAATATATTGAACAAAATTCATTTCATTTGATCACGAAATGAAAAGGGTCAGCAACATAAATACTTGGGAACCCATAATTAATTGGAGCTGATGATGGATTTTATCAACAAATTGGAGGTGATGATGGATTCCACACCTTTCTAAAGTACAAGTCTTGTCAGACTTTGAATGATTCAAGACAACAGCAGCCACAAGAGGTCACTTTGTGTTTAGAGATTTCTTCCTATTCCTGTTGTTGTTAAAATTCTATTTTTAGCATGTGGTACTGCTACTTCTTTATCTGCTTGTGGTTTCTCTGTTTATTTTCTGCTTTTTTCTTCAACAATAATACTTCCTTTATCATCAGTTTCTAGCAGTTTACTTTCTTTATTGATTAGGGATTCAGATGGGACAACTTCATCACTGAAGGAAAAACAGTTAAAAATTAAATACTAATATAAAAAGAACAACAACATTAAGAATAATTGGTAAATAAAACTTGTAGGATAAACATCGACCTAGATTCAATGTCGCTTGTGGAATGTTTGCCAATAGTAATAGCCTTCGAATTGGATGCTTCCTGGAACAGAGAAAAGTTAACATTCCAAAGTTTAGATAATATTATAATATATATATATATATGTATGTATGTATGTATGTATGTATGTATGTATGTATGTATGTATGTATCCTTACATTATTGGCAAATGAAGTTGAATCTACATCATGGTCCTTGATATCTTGAATTTCGTCATCATCTTGCACCTCCGTTGAATATGAACAATTGAACATTTCAGTTATAGTCGATTATTTAACAGTTACCATATAAAGGATGTAAACTTGAAAAAGAAAAAAACAAGATCTATGATAATTAAGATGAATACCAAGGATGCTTTGAATTTTAAATCTTCAAGGTCAAAATTCCAAGCACCAACACCTCGCTGATACTCACTCTGTTTGTCATCATCAACAAGAAAAAAGAATTAGACACACAAAAACTCTAATTAGAAAAGAAAATAAAATAAAACAATAATGCTTCTTGTAACCATTGATATGGTTTCTTGCTCGGCTGAAGGCATCTTTTTAAGTGCTAGTTGGGCAGCATCTTTTGGCTGTAGATAGATATTTATGAATTATATATAAATAAATGTGAAAATACAGTTTTATAAATTATACGGTGGATGCATACTTGGGGGGCTTTGTCACGATGCCAAAGTCGTGGCAAGTCACCAAATAATTTCTTGGCAGAGAGTTCTGGAGCTTTAGCTTTCTTAAAAAAAGAAAGGTTTAACAACTTCTCAACATTGCCACCATTTCTTTAAAATATTGTTTTTTCACAATTGGGCTCTACCGGATGACTTTGGAAGAAAGCCTCTTCAGATGCAATTGGGCCCCCGTTTTCTGCTATTTTTTCACAATAACTCACCAATGCGGGGTCCATCTGTGATAGCATTCCATGCACCTGTAACCCCAAAAACACTTCAATCACACCAAAAGTTTGATCTTTTGTATGTGCAGAGGACATAATTGCCCTTGTCATCAAGAGTAGTCTTAGAAAGCTTTGTAATTAAGTAAAAGAAAATGGGCCAAAAAAATTCCTTTTCATATCTTTATTGTGTTATCACAGGTCGCAAATTGTTAACATTTCTGTAAATCAAAGAAAAGCTTCAAAAGCCAAGCTTCAATTTTCAGTGGGTCATCTTGAAAGACAATCATGAAACATAATATTACCTCAAATTTAGCTCATCTGTCCTCATCTTTAAGTTTAGCTCAGAAGCCATATGTCGCAAGACACAAGTCCTAATTTTTATAACAAATTAATTCCAAATCAAATAAATTAATTTGATCAGAATGTTAAAGAAGTACAAAAAATGAAGCTGAAATAAAATTGATTACATATACTATTATTTATACTTACAAGAGCCTTCCAAAAGCATCAATTATGTGGTTCCCACCTCCACCACCACCACCGTTGTTAATGGAACCCATGATTGATCGAGGTTACTTATCTAAATTTGATGAGTAGAGACTTGGAAGGGTAATGTCAGTGCATCCCATCTACTTCAGTAGCAGGGTACGAGGTTGCACCGTGTGAACTCAGGGATGGGGTCTGCAAGTCCAGTAAAGCTAACGCCACCCAGAGGCATATAAAAGTCAAACAAAAACATTTAAAATGTCATATATATGTAGGTTTTACTAAATTTAAGGAAATACAAGAGGTTTATAATTATTAATCACAATGCATGGTACTTATAACTCCAACTAAAAGTATCCATAAGATTTCTCCCACTGAACACATTTACTAATTCTTGGTTAGGAGTACTATCAGACATCACCTAAATTCAAAACGAAATTGGTATTAATGTTAGTAAACAAATGAAGTAATTAAATCTAGATTTCACAAGTGTAACCATTCATCCGAAACAACAGTTCTCATCAAATATTTGAAGAAATTTTCTTGTCCTTTTTTCCATTAACCATTTGCATAACTCTCTTACTAAAGATATAATAATATTATTTAAAAAAACTCACCTGCCCAAGCATTACACTGTTGCCAAATCAACATGAAAATGAAGTCGATTTTCTACTACTCATGTCACAAGAGAATGATTTCCTGCCAAAACTTCAAAGGATGAAGGGACTATTATACCCTTTGGAAGCAAAGCCTTTAAAATCTGCAGTTTTTGGATAAAGAAACATGGTTCAAAACATTCCAAGATATAAACTTTATTAAGGAGTCACATTGAAACCTATAGTTTAGTATCGGGGAAAGAGAGGGGCAGAAAAGTAAATTTAGTTGGGAGTTTTAATGGCTGCAAACAATGGTCAATGGATACCTCATTCATTTGCCAATAACTGTAATACAAAGTCAGCTTGCATCTCACAAGTTCAAATGGTGATCTTGTTAAGCATGCCTGAAGAAAACAGATGATAAAACACATATAATAAGCTCATGAATCGGGAAAAGATAAGTTGGAATGAATACCTTAATTGCCTTAGGCATTTCATCAAATGACTTATAGGCGGTCGGGGTTTGGATAGGCTATCACTGGCGGATCGATGATGGCTACTGCCCATAGGACTACTAGATAAACACTGAAAACATAAACATAAACACAGGAGATTTAATATTCAAAATTTCATATGTCTGTCGAACTAGATTACTCACCCTCTCGGGAACATGAGAGGTTAGCAACGAGGCAATAACTCCTGTTATCTTCTCTATCCAATCCATCTGATCAAGGTCGTGTTCCCCTTATTTGCTGAACGGATGAAGAAAAAGGACCAAGGCTAGAAGCGCAACTAGACTAGGGTTTGTAAATTTGAGGAGTCGTTGTAGATAGAGTAGGGTAGAGGTGAAGAGGAGTTCAGTTACCAATTTTATGTTGAGATTATTGTGTCTAAATTTCACCATAAAGATACGATCGAGAGAGAATGGTCTTCGATTTCTGGAAGGAAGCGAGGGTGTTACAGAGAGGGGGGATCAGACTCGCATGGAGATCTAAGGAGATAGTGAGCGGTCTTCGATCCGATCGAGAGAGAATCGTCGCCATAAAGATACGATTGAGGAAAATCGTCTTGAGAGGGGAAGTTATTTGGGAAGAACTTGAAGCATTTGAAACCCTAGACCTTGATTCGATGTAACTTGACAGTGGCCATTGTAGATTGATAGATTGAAGACCTGGATCAATCCCTTGTGAAGAAAGCTGTGCGATTACAGAGAGTCCTTGTTGACCGGATCTAAAGATTCTGTCAATAGCTCTATCGGGTTTGGTTAAATCCCCAGTTTGGAATGTGCTACATCTGGTTCATGAACTTTCCAAGTTAATTAGGGTTTTTTTTAATGAAAATTGAAAAGGGTTAATGGATTAGGATGATGTCGTACCTGAGAAAACAAAGAAAAAGAAGGAGACCTCACAGATCAATTACGATTCACCTTCGAGGTTTACAGAGAGACGGGAGGTAGAGAATGAAGGGAGATCTAAAGGAGAGAGTATCAGAGGAGAGAGTGGATTGCAAGGATGAAAAATAGATAGAAGATAGAAAAAACAAGGCGGGTTTTCAAAATTTTGGGGATTTGGTTTCCCCCTTCATTAACTAAAAGTGCGTTTCATTAAAATTATAAAGCGACATGTACAGAAGACACGCGTTTAAGATAAAGCGCCCTCCGTGTTTCTAATTTTTTTTTTGAGACACTAAATTAAGGGCACGCAATAATGCGTGACGTAAATCCTTAAATTTTTTGGAGAGATAACACTATTTTAAGGGCACGTCCTTCTGCGTATCGTTAATCAGCGCGTGTTGTAAAAAGCGCATCATTAAAGGTCTATTTTCTAGTAGTGGTGGGATTAGAGTAGAGTGTGGTATTCCTTCTCTTTCTTGGATGACCATAAATGGTAGGTCAAGATCAGATAACCGGTAGGTGTGTCTGTGTCATCGACCAGAGTAGATGACAACACTTGACTATTCTAGGCGTTCTAGTGAATTATGTTGCTAGTGTGGGCTTATAACCCATAGACATACATAAAATATTTATCAATAACTCTGAACAATGGGTGCCTTTTATGACTTACACTAGCCAAGGACTTCCCTAGTTGTGTAGTCTACTAGATACTCAAACGGTTTATCAGGTAGGGTGATTCCTCCAGATAATCGTTCACTTAATTAGGATTCATGAGAATCAGTTGGGTTGAGTAGAATTTCCTAAATATATTTATGTCAGATTTTATCAAGGTTCTAAAAAGCTCACCATGGCTCCGCTATGGCGCGCCATGGCTCCAAGGCTTGTATGTGCCACCAAACTTCAGCAAAACGTTGTCTTGACTTATATGTGTGTATAAAAATAAATAATAGTTGAAAATTCATATAAAAATATGAATTGTATACAAAATTGCCGCCTTAAGTCGCACCTTACAAAAGACGTGGCTCGCTAAGGTTTGGAAAAGCTTGAGGCTTGACATTGCCGCCAAGTCACGCCTTATATAGTGATATTATTTGAAAATGATTGTTTTTCAGTAACGATACTACGATTTATTATCATTAAATTATTATGGGACTGAAAACTCTATGCATATCACCAGGTTTTCCAAACTTGACTCACTCTTTTAATGTACATCACAGGTAGTGGATGTAAGGCTACTGAAACTTAGTTAGGATGTTGAGTGAAATAAGATATGAGCATGTTATAGTGTTTCACGTACGTTGTAATGTATGTTTCAATATGAACGATGACATCCTCGAAATTTAATGTAATGAAATAACTTTTGTTGTCTCGATATTTTTATATAACTGAAAACTTTCGCATCTCAATTATTAAAGCGTAAATAAAAAATTTTAATCAGTTCTAAAAACATTGGGATGTCGTAACATTTTATTGTCTTTTTATAATAGTTGCCATGTTATTATTTCATTTGCTTGATTCGTGTTTTTTGGGCATCTTAAGTACATGTAGGGTAGGAAAGTATGATCCATACTTACAATAAGATGAAGATTGTATCTAAAAAAATTGAGGGACATATTCATGGTGGCAATAAAAAGGCCATGAAGTACAATTACTTCCTCATGGGATTCATATGCATTTTCATAATTATATTTGTTGACATTACAACTTTTTAATTTGATATATCTAAACATGTGAGACATTAATTTATTATTAGGGTTTTTCAGTAAGGAACCTAAATGTGATCCCTTTGATCATTGCAAAGACAGGGTTTAAAAGGGTACTCATGATTCATTGTATAGATTTCATCGATGTAGACGGTGTACGATTTTATTTACATTTACTTTTATATATTTTATAATTAAATAATGGTTTAATTAAATGGTTAATATATTATTAGTTATGTTATGAGCTCACCAAGTTGTTACTTCCCACAATGGACGAGTAGGTGGATGCAAGGTTGTCAATATTGTGATCTTACCTAAGATTGTTTTACGTTTTGCAAGATTGTGATCATAAAAGATCATATCGAATCGAAAGATTATACCAAAATGAATTTGTATTCAAATTTGTTCACAAGGTCTTTGGCGTGAAGTATACATATTGATATTGATTAAGACATTAATAGTAGAATCAACTTTAACTTCTTAAGCATGAGCCATAACTTTTATTGTTCCAATCCATTAAAATTAAGAAGAACAACATATTAATAATAAAGCTCATTTTGATCATGTACAACCAAAGACATGAGATCACAAATGGATTACGATGACTGTGTTCTGTCTAATTTGAGATGAATTGATGAAATAATGAAGCTATACAAGACTTCTTACAACTTGTGATGCTCAATTTCAAGTTGAATAAACGAATTTTTGAGATTTGACTATATAATAACACTAGAAATGTGAGATCGAGATCGTAGTGTGATCATGATGGTTTTTTATATGTAGGATCTTAGAATCGTAAGATCTTAAGATCAAAAACAGGATTTTAATAACCATGAATTAATGGCTTATTGACATCCTATATCCCCTTGATTAAGAAGTCACTATGTTTCAATAATATCTTACAATTACTAATTGTAAATGCCAACAATCAAGCGATTGAAGGACCCATAGGCTATGGTCTACTTCTTGTTGCTAAATAAGCGTAGACCGAGATAAGGTTGATGTGAAGATGCTCATAGACCTTGGTCTATTTTTTCTACTAAGAGTCTGATAGTTACATATACATAAAACTCATGGTTTGAGTTAAAAAAATTAATTTGGCACATTAACTAGTTTCTTAATTAATTAACATTGCCTAACCTAATAAAATAGGATGAGAGACACACGTATGATTGGGTTATTGATGAGAGACCCTTAAATGACGGAGTTGATGATGAGGGACTCGTATAGATCATGAGGTAAACTTTTAATTAAAGTTTTTAAAATCATTATTCGTTATTTGTTAGTTAACGGAACTCTTTAAAGAATATTATTTCAGGATGAGTATAATATCATGAACGTGGACTTGTCTATCTTAAAGACGTCATCAATAGTGTGTCGGCGTTAGTGGCAACACATACAACCATATGAATGGATGAAGTTCCCATGGACCTAGATTCGTCACTTGCTCATATTATAAGGATCAGCCCGACAATGCATATTTGGGAGAGAGTCTCTGGGGACTACAAGCTTAAGTTGCTTTAGTCTTATGTATTTTAAACAATATGTCGTCCAAAGGTTGAAGCCTATGTTATTCGAACTTCAAATGATTGATTTCCTTAAAAAAAATTGAATATAATGAGTTTGGCAGCATAAAACATTCCCATTTGTTTAAATCATAATGAAAATAATTTTTTTAAAAAGACTTCATTTTATTATGATTTATTTTATTTGAAAATATATATTTAAGTTAAAACTATTAAAAATAATAGCAACAATAACAATAATAATAATAATAACAACAAATAAATATATAACTAAATTAAACAGTTTTTGTCATTAGGGGTGCCCTAAAAAAACTAAAACCAAATAACTCACTTGAATCGAACCGAAAAGGTTTATGTTGTTTGGCTTTCGGATTATTCACTCTTATACAGTTTGGGTTTGGCTAATCATGTTTGCAACATTACAAAGACGAATTAGCAAAAAGTAAAATTAATAAATTGAAGATTTTTATAAAAATGTTAAGCACTATTACTTGATAAAATGTCATTTGTTATAATGACGAACCGAATAAAATATATAATATAAAAAACGGGATAATGTCATAAAAAGTCTTACGTTTGGCAAAAAAATATCGGTTTTACCATTCGGTAGATTTTTGGTTCGTTTATACCGCAAATTTGTCATTTTTTTGTTGGTTTTGCCCTTGTTACCTGCAATAGCAGGTTTCTAGGTTATTATGAATTATTTTTTTGCAAAAAAAACCCTTAAGTTTACAAATTTTTTGCAAAAAAACCCTTTAAGATTATAAATATATAAAATATAAATATATATTCAAAATTTGATAAAACTAAATGGTTTTCTACTGAAACATATTTTTAGCTTTACATACGGTAACTTTTATATTTGTTTGATGTAAACTTTTTATATTTAAAATTTTAAAATCTTACCTAGTTTTAACAAAATTTGAATATATTTCTTAATTAATACTTCAACTTTTCAAAACAAAATTAAAAAACATTTGTTAGTTAATAAGTAATTATGCTAAAATAGTTAATATGAATAATACGGTATCATGTACATTCAATTAATTTTTTTAAAAGGTAAATAAAAATATTTTATATGTTTAAAAGGTTTGTATTTCAGAAATAGTAACATATCGTATTTTTTATATGTTTAAATACATAATAATATTATCATATTTTTCTATAAAAATATCATAATCATTTTAAACATCAAAAATAAATATAAACATTTTAAACATATAAAATATAAATATATTTGTCTAATTTATGGTATAAATATATTTATTTTTATATAAAATATGATAGTTTATTATTTATGAAATTCAAACATTTTAAACATATAAAATATTTTTATTTTTGTTTTAAAAAAAAATAATTGAATGTCACTAATGTCATATTATTATTAGCTAATAGACGTTTTTTAATGTTACTTTGAAAAGTTTAAGTATTAGTTAATAAATATTTAAATTTTGATAAAACTTGGTAACTTTTTTAAAATTTAAATATACAAACTTTATATCGAATAAATATAAAATTTACCGTACATAAAACTAAAAATATGTTTTAGTAGAAAACTATTTAGTTTTATAAAATTTTGAATATATATTTATATTTTATATGTTTATAATCTTAAGGGTTTTTTTGCAAAATATTTGTAAACTTAAGGGTTTTTTCGCAAAAAATAATTCATAGTAACCTGGAAACCTGCTATTGCAGGTAACAAGGGCAAAACCGACAAAAAAAATGTCAAGTTTGCGGTATAAATGAACCAAAAATCCGCCGAAGGGTAAAACCGACATTTTCTGTCAAACTTAAAGTTTTTTATGACATTATCCCTAAAAAAAACTATCTTAATTTTCTTGTTATTACATAAGAAAAAGAGTAAATTATATAAATGGTCTCTATGGTTTGGGGTAATTTACGTGCTTGGTTCCTGACTTATTTTTTTTTAACTCAGAATGTCCCTATTTTTTTTTTTTTTTTTTTTTTTTTGTTATGTGTTTGGTCCATATTATTTGTTTTTGTTACGATGTTGGTCCATGTCTTTTTAATAAATTAAAAATCTGAGAAAAATATTGGGGTAGACAAAGTAATGCTAGAGGGCTAGGGTTGGGGAAGTGTTTATTTAAATAAATTAAAAAATTAAGAGAAAATAATCTTTTTAGATAAGACAGAGACCAAACGCATAATAAAAACAAACAGTAAAGACCTTATGAGTTAAAAAAAATAAGTTACATACTAAACACGTAAATTATCCTAAACCATAGGGACCATTCGTGTAATTTACTCTAAGTCTATCAACATTAGCAACCCAACACAACCTAAATTTTTTTATAAAAAATAATTTATCTCTCTTTCATCTATATAATCCAATCCAATCTAAAATTTTAACCCCAGAGCCGGCCCAAGCCCAGGGTAAGCTGAGCCACAGCCCAGGGCAACAATTTCTAATGGGGCATCAAATTTTCAAAACCTCTTATACTTGGGCCATATTAAAAAAGCTAGTCCAGTAAAATTCATCCCTGTCTAAACCTCAAGGGCAACCGATTTCTTGGAGACCTAACTAGCGGCAACGACAATTACAATCAATTTTGTATGGTGACTCTTCGAAATAACCACACGCCTAATAATTGAAGATGAAGAACACGAGGCGACGAGGCGTAACGGAAACGAACGATTACAATTTTAAATCTAGTCTACCATGGCTGCATTGATCGCCTGCTGTCTCATTTAGTCATCTGCTGATCTGCTTCATCTCTTCAACGCTTCTCTTGCCGACTTGCTCTCTCTCTCTCTCTCTCATATTATTCTTTCTTTCTAAATCTTAAATTACTACAGTAATAGAGTAATAGTTTATATGTTGCTCTACATTTGTTGTGTTAAAGACTTAAAGTGAAGAACTGAAGATTCAAAGGTGCAATACTGTGTCCGTGAATCCGTGATTGAATGAATCCTTCCTCCTAAGTTCCTAATCCAGTAAGTTTTTTTTTTGCTAGTATTTCAAATTTCTTGCAAGTTTTGAAAATTTGATAGTGAATACCGGTTAAAATTTCTGAAATTTCAGTTTTTTTTATATAGCTTCTTGGAGAAGTGAAATTAGATTGCAGTGTTGTTGATCCTGGACTACACCAAGATTCATTAATTTTCTAGATAATTTTTTTTCTTGTATTTCTTGTACTGCTCTAATTTATGATCAAGTTAAGTTGCAGATTTTGATTGTTTTTATATAATCTAAAATCTGATAAGTTATGTCTATTGTTGAGTGTGATAAGTTATGTTAATTTTTGTATTAAATTATGATAATTTCTGAAAATCTGATATAGTGATATGTACATTCTGATATATATGAATTCTGATTTTGATTTTTTTTAGATGTGGCTTTTTGATTAACTAGATGTATTTAGTTTGATAAGTGTTTTTAATTCTGATTTTTGAAAATCTGATGTATTAGTTTTCTATAAATATGATGTTTAAAAAACTTATATGTAAAATCTGAAAATCTAAAAGATACTATTTTTTTTGTTTAGGTTGTGGATACGGATTGAAAGTCAATTCCTACAAAGTCTTGATTATGATAAAATAATAGATCTTTTTGCTTCAAAAAATACAAGGAGGCATCATTTTAAATGAATTTTATGTATGTGTTTATTTGTATAACCTTGTTTTGGTTTGACTACAAAATTTATTTCATTTATTGTATTTTTTTAAATAAATAAAGGCATTAATTTAAAATCTCGCCCCGGACATTGAAAATCAATGAACCGTCCTATTTAATACATTAGCAACAAACCCAACCTATTTTATATTAAAATTTTATATTTATAAAACTATATTTATATTAGTCTTATTTTGTTGAGAAAAATAAATTAAGTATTTTAATATATTTTATTTTATTTTTTGTTAAAGATAAATTTTACTTACTAATAAAAGTTAGTTTTTTTGTATAAAATTAATTAGTTTCTCTCTTAATTAGATAGACACTGGTACATGAAGTTTGGTATGCAACCCCAAGCATGGCTACGGCCTAGTTCACTAAAGATTGGCCAATTCATAATATTTTAATATTTTTTTTCACGAGTGTTAAAAACTCCCAATCGGGGTAGTCTGAGAAAAAAAAACATTTGGCCTAAAATATGTGTGACCTACTTCGGTTTAACCTGGAAAACGGAACCAAATAACCCAAAAACGAATAATAAGAAATTGATTAAACTAATCTAAAATTTGTTTTGGTTATGGTTAATTTAAAATTGTTAGAAAGTCGATTAAACCTAACCAAATTGAAAACCAATTGAACTAACATCCTAATTTTCATGTTTTGAAAAATCACAGATACTTTATTTTCGGTTGTAAACATCGTAAATGGCTTATAACGCCATGTCATTGTATGTTTATATCTATATTTCTATTTATACTTGTTTGTTTTCCACGCAATTCTTTCATAATTGAGAAAGCTTGATAGACCAACAGATTGACGATCGAAAATGGCATACAACAAAGCCTCCATGCTTTTTAGCTGCATCCTCTTGCTTTTGCTTGCGCTTACTTTCTCCATGGGAGAAAGTAAAGTCACCTTTCACACCAGTAAGTTCCATCGTTTTTATAACAATGAATTTCAAGTACGGGTGATCGCGGTTCGGTTTGAAACCGTGAAACCGGCTAAACCGATCATTGGTTTGGTTTTACGGTTTGTATTTTTACTTACGGTTTGGCTTGCGGTTTCGAACTTTCCGCACCGTCATGAATGGTTCGGCTTATGGGTTTTAAGATTTTAAACCGTATAAAAACCGGACCGGACCTTAAGATATATATATATATATATATATATATATATATATATATATATATATATATATATATATATATATATATATATATATATATATATATATATATATATATATATATATATATATATGAGTAGGATCAAATGAGAACAGAAAAAATGTTGAGAACGCGAGAACAAAGTATATTCATTTGCGATTCCATGTATTCATTTGTGGAGAAATGATAAATTTTTACGTATTTAATTTCAATTGAAGAGAAAAAGCATATTCATGTTGATTATGCGTAAAAATTTATCATTTCTTAACAAATGAATACATGGAATCAGAAATAAATATACTTGTTCTCGCGTTCTCAACATTTTAATTGTTCTCATTTGATCTTTTCCCTATATATATATATATATATATATATATATATATATATATATATATATATATATATATATATATATATATATATATATATATATAAAATTGTATTTTATTGTATTATATATTAATTTTTATATATTTTTAAATAATAAAATTTAAAACCATATTTAGTTAACCTAAATTTCCAATATTTTTTTCATGTAATGTAGTGTAAATAAAGCTCATCTTAGAGTACACCTCTCAAAATCGTTTCCACTTTCCGTAAGCCTGATCCCACTTACTCAAAATCACAAAGCAAGTGAGCTTCCTCTTCCAGCTATGGTTGTTGTTCATACTCAAAATCGCGGTTCGACTAAAATGGGCCTAAAAAGCCCAAAACCGTGAAACCAAACTGGAGCCAAACCGTTAATAACGGTTTGGTTTTGTTCGGTTTTAATTTTTGAATGGTTCGGCTTTGGTTTTCGCTTTACAAAAACCGTAACTTATCGTTTGGCTTCGGTTTCACCTATAAACCGAAAAAACCGGACCATGAACACCCCTAATTTCAAGTGCGTTTATTGATGGATATATATTTTTTGTTGTGGGTGTTTTACTAGGGTCCACAGTGCAAGGAACATTGGTGTGCAACGAGATCTACGGGACACAAGTCGGGGACACATGCTTTAGTATAATAGAGGCCTTCCATCTCACGGCTTCTACCTTCAATAGCTTCAATCCTAATTTGAACTGTCAGAAGGTCTTTGTTGGAGAATGGTTGTGCATTAATGGTATGGTAGTTTGAAGATGGTTCTTTCCAATGGTTTAACTTTGTTATGTTAGCTGTCTGTTTTAAAAAATAACTTGAAATAATTTTATTTCATTTATGGTATTCCTTGAAGAGTATTGTGAATTATGGATTCTTCTTTGGATCTTTGTGTCTTTGACAAACATCATAGTATTTGAATTGCGTTAGATGAGTTTGATGTATTGTTTTTTGGATTTCTTTTGTTGGTTAATGATAAAACAATTCTTAAGTTATTATGGTACACATTAATGAGAAGAAAAATGGAATGGACCATTCTAACTTCATGAGAAAAACGTTTTTGTATACCATCTAGAAACGAAATCAACCATTCATATGTGATATCTTTCGTCTCATTAGTTTTTCTGTCTAGATTATCACGAATTTCAATATAGGATAATCCACAACATGACATTATTGATTTTAGGCATAAAATGGAAAGCAAAGTGCAAGAGAAGTGTAAGGATTGTTCAATTTATGGTAGAACAAATACTTGAGTATCTATAGTATAAATACTCCTAAAATCCATAAACGTATAACAATGACAAAATGACAATTTTAGAAGATGGAGGCGAATATTGACAAATGGTAATTATGGAAGGTCCATAGATTTCTGGAAAGCACAAGACTAAAATTAATTCCATAATATTTCTACCCTCTCGAAACCAATCTCGGGAAAACACAAACGAGTGTTAAGATATTGTCAGCGTCATAGACAATGTCTTAGACGCTGATCAATGTTGTAGAGTGTTTTAGCAGAGTTTTGTTGTAGGACGGTAATTTGACGAAGCACGGAAGAAAAGACGCAAACGCCAAGTGGGAAACCGAAGGATGTACAACATTTTATAGAGTATTTTAAAAGATGGTAAAGAGCAAGAAAAAACAATGCACGAGTCTAGGGATGTAAACAATTCGAACAAATACGAACAAATGTTTGTTCATGTTCATTCGTTTAAGTTAGTCGAACAAACGAATGAAAATAAATGGATAAACGAATGACTTTTTGTTCATGTTTATTCGTTTAATAAATTATATTTTTTATGTCGTTTGTTTATGTTCGTGAACATGCTAAATGAAGAACAATACACAAGATTCACACACACTTGCACCATAAACATGTTCACGGCCGTAAACACAACCGTAAACACACATGCAGTCGTAAACACCAAGCTGTTTACGATCCTAGACTGAAAAATATATTTTTCTAGAAAAGTAAAATATAAATCAATATTTTAGACCCAACAATCTTCCCCTTGGTTTATAGCTTTCTTTTCTGATTGACCCAACAAACTCCCCCTAAAAAGTAGTTGGCTTTTCTTGTCAATCTTCATTTGTAGCTTGGCTTCAGCGTTTATCTTCGATTTCTTCACAGCTTCAAGATGAACTTGATAAATCTTCATTGAATGACTTCATCTTGAGCAGTTGGGCTTTTCTTCAGAATTTGACATTGAACGCACATTGGGTGAGGAAGCTTCTTGAAAAGATTCATGAAAGATGGCACTTTCAGCATGAGAATCATCAGAAAGAATAGAGAGATCAAATCTTCTAGATCACTTCAGCAAGTACACAAATAGTAGCAAATTGATTGAGGAGGCTTCAATGCAATATGTCACATAAACTTCAAGTGCAGCTTCACAATGCTTCTGGGGTTGAAGGATTGAATGTTGAAAGAATAATCTTCATTTCTTGCTCCTTCGAATGAGAATTTTTCGATGATCACAGATGAAGCCTTAGCTCAGAAATCTCGATACAATCTCCATGAGTTTCATCTACATCTGAATTCACTTTTCAAGACAAAACAAAAACTAAAAGAAAACTTAGCACACAATATTTTTGGCGTTTTCATATTTTCTGGAAAAATAAAATAGAAACAAAAATATTTTTAGATTTTTCAAATTTTCTGAAAAATAAAATAGAAACAAACACTATTTTTGGATTTTTAATTTTCTGATTTTTCTTTGATTTTGTTTAATTTTCTGATTTTTGTAAATTTTAATTTTTTTTTTAATTATCCTCCTAAATTTGTGCATAGAGAAAAACTATGACAAATTTAACAAAAACAAAAATATTTAGGATCAAAGTTATGAGACAGTCTTAACTTTGTTTATCGGTACCTTCACCTTCATGAATAGATCTGGTCAATTGCCGATATTGTGGTCCACTGAAACACGAAGGATATCGACAATTTTTTTTAATATACCATTTAGCTGACGACGACCATAGGTATTGTTGTCTACTTAAATCAAGCAGCGACACCTACAGACAACCTCTTAAATGGTTCAATTTTAGTTTCACTAGAACGTGTTCCACACTTCCCCATATACCCTGGTTATCAAGAACTTCCTAAAAATTCCATACTTTAGGTGAGTAAACAATTATTAAGGACGAAAACAGATTTAGTGATAGATACATATGTTGTGTCCCAGGTCGGATCTCTTTCAGTCACGCAGAGGGGACAACATATGACTAACAGAGATTGAGAGATTGAGAGGTAGAATGTTGCATATGTTGTGTCCCAGGTCGGATCTTCCGATAACACAAAAGGGACAACATATGACTAACAGATAGAAATAATTCCATAGATAAGGAGGTGCGTAGAATTAGAGTTGCATATGTTGCAATCCAGGTCGGATCTCTTCCAATCACGTAGAGGAAGCAACATATGACTGACAGATGGAAAGCAAAAAAATAATTTCCTACGGACCTACTTTATCAGAACTCCCTAGTCACCCTATCAGAACCAGAATTAAGGACATAAGTTCGTACATCAGGAAAAGTTGAACCACTGTTCTAGATGCGTGTTAATTTAGTGTATCTTGTCGGTTCCCATGTTTATCTCACTGCTCAATCTACCCGAGCGTCGTATGGTCAGTCCAAAAAATCCTATCTAAATCCGCACTGTCAAATCCTTCGTGCCTACTAGCACATTGAACATAGAGTTTAGACAATTCAAATTCAATCTCTTACACATGTTTTGGACTGCCCGTTATCACTTTCTTGATATCACTTCCCAAAAATACCTACTAAATTAAGAAATATAAGGAAAATAAAAAAAATTGACTTCAAAACGAAACATTGCAAGATAAAATCTGGAGTATAGAAAAGCAAACTCAAACCGTAATTCACCGATTGAATTTGCATCCATAAGGTCTAAGAACAACACACATAATCTCAAAACAAGTCCGAAAATTCTTCATGTCATTAAGCGCTAACCCCATGTGTGATCCCATCCTTTCTTCCTTTCCCGCAAAGGACACATACTCTCAAACAAAGTTCTGAGTGTTGCATAGTTGAGAGATGCCTCCTATCATGTTCCTGGAACAATCACTACCAATAGACCGAAGTCTGATGATATGCCTCCATAGCTGCTCCGACACAGAGCGGGATTGGTTGGTCTTTGGAACCCAGTCCATTTTGAAACTAGGTTGACCTTTTTCATCCTTGCACGATACTCTCTCCCATGACATATCCTGTTTATCACAAACAGAAGATGAAGAAATATTAGAGTCATTAGGTGATTTGGGAGATTGAACCTTTGGTACCCATTTGTAGTCGGGTTTAACCCATTTCCTGTTTAATCTGATGGGTGCCTCAATACTTGCTTTTGAATTGGAATTCGATCGTTGAGATGACCTCGGTTTGACTAATCTTGATTTCGCTGGAGCATCTCTTGGATTGGACTTCTTGGTCGGATACCCTTCTTGTTGTTAGGAGTTGATTTCTTGGTCTTGGGAGTTGAACTCTTTCCCTTCGTGGCATTCCAGTCGCCATTGTTTGAACGTGGCCTCGAAGGGTTTCTTTTGGAAAATCTCCCTCTTGGCGCGTTCTGCCAGCCTTGTTTGTAGTAGGGAAGGTATGCGCGATGAGGACAATTTCTGGCAATGTGTCCAGGTGTTCCACAGTGAAAGAAAGTCTTTTTCTTCACTGGTAAGTTGTTTCTTCCTAGCCCTAGTGGCGTATTCTTTCCCTGTCTTTGATTGTTCCCACAAGCACACTTGCAGCAGGCACTTTGTTTCGCTTGTGTTGGTGGTTTGTATTTACCAACAGCAGGTTGAGAATTAACTGAGTTACAAGTTGCAGATTCAAAGTTCAAGCAGTCATTGGTTTGACACTTAATAGAATTTGCAAAACTAGAATTAGTATTGTTCTCCTTGTCCTCTTCATCTACTACTTTACTAGCACATGAAGTAATAAATATATGTTGATCAAACAAACAAACCGTTTGGCAGGTGTAGAAGATGTGCAGTTGGGAGATGTCTCATGTCATCCCCCATTAAAATTCTGAATGTTGTGCAGTTGGGAGATGTCTCCTATCAAATGCCTGGAACAACCGTTGTCGCATTACCAAGGTCTGGTGACATTCCTCCGTAATTGTTCCTGCACAATGAGCGAGATTATTTAGATTTGGGAACCCAGGTCATTACAGCCCTGGGTGTACCCTTGACTTTGACAGATTTATCTTTTTGCTTTTTCAGATTTGCATTAATATCAGATACACTTTCATAGGATGACGATGATTGGACAATTATGGATTTGGGCACCCATTGGTAGTTAGGTTTTAAAGTATTCACAGATGAATTAGAAACATTTTTCTTTTTCTTTG